ATTTAAGATTCTAGATTTTTTCTAGATTTCTCGTATTTTGTATGTTCAAGATTTCAAAAATAATGTAAAATAAAATATTAACGAGAATTTTGAAACCAGTGAAAATTTTAAAATAGAACATATTTAAATATTCTTTTTTGACAAAAAAAACCTGCTTTTTAAGCACATTCCTCGTAAAAGTATTAGTTCACTTTTAATAATTTTGTGAAACATAAAACACAATTTCTGTTTTTTTATGCAAACAATTTTGTTTTTTGTTTTTTGAATAATAATTGTGTTCAGGAAAAAATGATAAAAAAATTATAATTGAATGAAATCAAAAGTAAAATAACAAAGAAGTAACACAAGAAATGAAATAACAAAGCAGTAACATTTAATTAAACATTACAAAAAAATGTAATAACAATAATTTTTGCACATTTGATATTTTACTCGAAAACGGTGCATTTTGCAAAAAATTTACAAGAGACAAAAAAGTTTCTAAATTGAATGGGCATTCAATTTCAATTTTTTGTATTTAAAAAAAAGGTCATTTGGAGACTAATAATTCCACAAAAAAACATTTTTAGAAAAAAATTGCAAAAACTTACTGATTGCGAAAAGCACACGTCCCTCCTGTACCTCACATTGCAGACCCTTTGGGCCGCTTTGGGGTCCTCCTGCACCCGAAACACCGAATGTGTCAAACGGGCCGTTTTCAAAAGCCCATCCATGGCATGCCTCAACTTCCTCATACTAGGCCTCAACTCGGCCGCCCAATCAACAATCTTATTCAAATCCAAACCATCTGTAAACTTATTTCCATTTTTCACAACTCTAGTCACACAATTCACCGCTTTTGACACATTCTCAGCCTCCTTATTACAATCATCGATTTTTTTAACATTGGAAATCGGTTGATTCGTAATCACAGTCTTGGGTAGAGCTTTCCAATTTTGTCTTAGTCGCACAGCAGGACTACCACATCTACCACACAAAAACTTAACTTTACTGACTAAACACATGACACTCGCTTCGATATTGAGTTGGGTGATGTCCCAGGGCTCCGGTTCATCCGTCGGCTTGTAGTAATTCGCTGAGGGGGAACTACACATAACATTAGTGTCTAAAAAAACTCGACTAGTGTCAAATTTCGATTCATTCATTTCTTCATCATCATTTTTGCTATCTTCACAGTCAGGGAAAATGACAAAATCACCCTCACTTGGACTATGCACAAATGAACATAAACTTTTAACACCTTCGCTTGTGTTCAATAAATTATTTTCGCGTTCCACTTTCCACATTTCGTTGATGTCTTCTGGTGTTGAAGGTGTAGCGAAATCGTCAAAATCGGGACTTTTTAAATTAAGTGATGATAATTGTTGTGTTATTCGTTTGAATGGTGATAGCATCAAGACTGGTTTTCCATTACTGTCTAAACTGAAATCTTCACCAACGCCTGAGTCGTCAGTTACAACCAATTTGTTTTCTTCGATGAAATTGAGAGCCTCCTCGACAAGTCCGGTGTCCCAGAGACTCAAAAGGATTCGTGTTTTGCTTATCATGTCTTCGCATATTGGTAACATACCACTGGTTTGTTTCTCTTTGGCGAGTTTCATTAAGACTTTCATACCGTCGACGACCTCTTTACGGAGTTGTTTGATTGCCTAAAATCATTAAAGAAATTAAGAAAGGGGAAAAAATTATAAAAATCCCTCCACTTGCATTTATTTTTGTCTTTTTAATATAGTTAATAAAATTTAGTAAAAACTAATGTAAGTTGGCATTATTTACCACACCTTTCTTTATAAATTTTGTATTCTTCTAGCCTTAATCTTAAATTTATTCTTTTTATTATTTATTTAATTTATTTTTTTTAAACTTGACCCAATAACGTTTTATGCACTTTTTTGAGTCTTTAAGACCCCTAGAAATGTAAAAAAAACGTTAAATGAATCAATTTTAAAGTTGGAAATTTTTTTGATTTTTGTCAAGATTTTGATCAATTTTTGGCTCCCGGAGCGGTCTATTGGCAATAACTCCGGACTTATTGGAGATAACCTCTTATGTTTGGTACCGTTGGAAAGAAAATTTAATTTTCTATCATATATAAAAAAAGATCGGTGCTTTACGATAAATAGTTATCGAGAAAATTTCTGATAAAGTCAAAAATATCGAYAATTTAAATCCGACTATAACTTCAAAACTCCTACAAATTTTGCAGTTTTCTTGACACCAATCGATTCCCCGGAACATTTTACATATGTCTAGGTCAAAATATTATATCATTGAGATACAGTTTTTTCGCAATTTACAAAAGAAAAAAAAAGTAAAAATTTGTTATGCACTTTTTTGAGTCTTTAAGACCTCTAGAAATGTAAATAACGTTAGAAGTGGAAGAATTTTAAAGTTTTAAAGCTGACAAAAAAATGTGACATTTCAATTTACATTAATTTTGCCATTCTTGGGCGTTTTTCAGCTAGAAACTCAACTATTTCGCAAAATTGGTTAAAAACAAGCCAAAAACACACAGAATTTGGCCGAAAATGACATAATTTTTTCCTTTTTTGAAAATTTTAACAGATTTTTAAGCTGAAAACTCTGTTTTCAGCCATAGCGTGTCAAAAATTACCACCAGAAACACGTAAAAAATGTTAAAAAAAATCTGTCAAAAAATTTTGACATTTGACATTTTTGTCATGTCTATGGGGTTACCGATAACTTTGGACGTTTTTAATTTGGCAACACTGAATTAATAGTGATTTTAGATTGTGTCAGTGTCAGAAATAAATGACAATTGATATTGATGTTATTTTGTTTGTTTCACTCGATTTAACTGTTTTTTGAACAAAATATTTTTTTTAAGAACGTTTATGTACTACAATCTCAATTTTTTTACGAGATTTGGCTAAAACGAACTGAAAAATCAACATATTAAATAGAAAATTACATTAATTTTGCTATTCTTGGGCGTTTTTCAGCTAGAAAATCAACTATTTCGCAAAATTGCAAAAACAAGCCAAAAACACACAGAATTTGGCCGAAAATAACATAATTTTTTCCTTTTTTCAAAGTTTAAGCAGATTTTTAAGCTGAAAACTCTGTTTTTTGCTTTTACGCAAGAGTTTGCCATAGCGTGTAAAAATTACTAAATTGTTATAAAAAAAATTAAACTTTAACTTAATTATTTCGTTAAATTATCTCGAAGAAAAAACCACCACCAAATTGGTTAAAAATAGTTCTATTTTAGTTTTTTTGAATGCCTTTTCAGCTASAAACAGAATTTTGTCAAAAACAAGCCACAATAAAATATCCCAAAAACGGCGTCTTTTTGTTTTTTTTTGAGTGTTTAAGGATGTTTTTGAGAGATAAAAACACAAAAAGATCGAAATATTGCKTTGAATCAGGCAACAAAATTGCAAAATTAAATCGTAATTGATATCATTTTTAAGCGTGTTTCGCCCGAATTACTTCGTTTCTGAATCAGGGGTTCATTTGTTTTGCAAAATCTTGACCAAAAACAATTGATATTGATGTTATTTTGTTTGTTTCACTCGATTTTTGAGCCAAATAATACAAAAATAAGCCGAAAATGTTTTTATGCACGTTTTTGTACTACAAACTCAGGTTTTTTGCGATAGTTCGAACTGAAAAATCAACAAAATAAGTCGAAAATTGCATTTCTTAAAAATTTTAGCACGTTTTTCAGCTAAAAAAATTATTTCGCAAAATTTTGTTAAAAACAAGCCAAAAAAACACAGAATCTAACCGAAAATGATATAATTTTTCGCGAGAGTTTGCCATAGCGTGTCAAAAATTACTACCAGAAAGACGTAAAAAATGTAAAAAAAATTCTGTCAAAAAAATTTGACATTTGACATTTTTGTCATGTCTATGGTTACCGATAACTTTGGATGTTTTTAATTTGGCAACACTGAATTAATAGGTGTTGGAAATGAATGACAATTGATATTGATGTTATTTTGTTTGTTTTACTTGATTTAACTGGTTTCTAAACAAAATAATTTTTTTAAGCACGTTTTTTCAAATTTTTTGCAAGATTTCACTAAAACGAACTGAAAAAATCAACATATTACAGCGAAAATTACATTAATTTTGCTATTCTTGGGCGTTTTAGCATGTTTTTTGGCTAGAAACTCAACTATTTCGCAAAATTGGTTAAAAACAAGCCAAAAACACACAGAATTAGGCTAAAACTGACATAATTTTTTCCTTTTTTGAAGATTTAAGCAGATTTTTAAGCTAAAAACTTTTAACTTTCGCTTTTTCGCGAGAGTTTGCCATGGCGTGTCAAAAATTACTAAATTGTTATAAAAAAAATTAAACTTT